ATTGATCTTCCTTTTTTATAGTTCTTATCAACATAGTTAGTATTAGTGCCTAAGGTGCAAAGCCCAGGGGCACTGTCACACGTAAGTCTTATAATCACTTACAAAATGGGGTAGGTATCCATCTAGATTTAATGGATGAGAAAACTGATGTCTGGAGAATTTTAAAAAACTCATGGAAGCCCCACAGAGCTATTAAGTGATAGTCTGTTTGGTTTCTATTATACCATGCAGCATCTAATTATTGAGTAAAAATGGCCTGTATGGGAGATTGAACTGTTGACCCCAAATTTTCACCTCTCCCTGTATCTATATTCTTTACAAGTGACTTGATAGTTCCTCTCATCAGAGGCAGTGTACTTCCCTGACTCTTGACTTTGGACTCAGCTATATGAGTTGCTTTGGCCAGTGGAATATGAGTGGACATCACTAGGTTCCTGTTCTGAGCCTAGATCTTAAGAGACATCACAGTTCCTGCCTTCCCTCTGGGGTTTCTGCCATTGCCATGGGAAGAAGATGCCCTGGATGGCCAACTGCACCAAGGAGGGTGAGGAGAAGTCTCCAAAGGCAGTGCTTCACCTTCAGCCCAGGCCCCACCATGAACACACATGGAGCAGATCTGAGATCAACCCACAGCAAGGAACTGAGCCCAGACAGACTTGCAGATTGAAGCAGAGCACCCAGCTCAGCCCCGCCTAGAATAGGCCTGGCCAACCTGAAGACATGAGAGCAAGAATAAATGAGTATTGCTTTCAGACGCTGAGATGGTTTGTTATACATCAATAGCTGACTGAGACAATCTCTTAGAACACTTTTTATCCACTATGGAAATATGGTGCTGTCCTGAAATTGGGATTCTGCTTATAAAAGCTCCCTGTAGCTTTAATGATAAAGTCCACACACTAACTGATCTCCAAACAGTCTTGGATCTGATCTTTTCCTAATTGTCCACTTCATTTACTCCCCAACACACTCATTACGTTGGGTCCCCACATGGGTCACCGTGTTTCCCACCTCCATGTCTTTGTGTAGTCAGTAGCCTTCGCCTAGAATGTCTTGACTCTTCTGCCTAATCAATTCTAATCACTCTTCAGGATGAAGTAAAAACATCACCTCTCCCAGGAAGCTTTCTCTGCCCTCCAGGATGATTTACATGCCCCCTCACATGTGCTTACCTTTAGTCTAGCCCTTATCACATCGTACTAACACCACCTTTTCACATGCTTGTCTCTTCCATCTGCCTTTAATCGCCTTGAGAGCAGAGATCGTTTCATTTGTCTTTTATTCCTATAGACCCTGCCTCGACTTTGGGTTATAATCATTTATTCCTGTACAAGATCCAGCACAGCCTAACCAGAGTTCTGACCTTTGCATAGCAAACATGCTTAGATTGAGAATTTTACCTTCTTGGAAGCTCTTCGCTAATGATTAAGGAGGGTCATCAGCTTTTTCTGCTCTCCTGTGTCTTGATGAAAGCCTCTTTGCATGCCACCGAATGAGTGCTCTGGGGTTTCACACTTCTCTTTTGATTATACATTAATTACTCTCAACCACTGTCTATTGCCTTAATACAGTCACTCAATCCTGGTGTTCTTATAATTTCTTCCCTATTTCTTTAATACATCACACCCCTCTTTTTGGTGCTAAAATGTAAGGAAGTACTCAGTGAATAAAGAAACCAGCAACAAAGGAAATTCTGGAAGAGGGCTAACAGCTGCAGGCTGATTGTCTGCCAGCAGCACTCCCAGAAGTTGGGGAAATGACGGCGCAGAGGCCTGAAGCACCATGGGATGCTGGACGACTATGAGCAACTTAGAATTGGAGCTGGAGCTGGACCCACATAGCTAAGAGTTAGTAGTCAGAACCCGTGTCTTTCGAGAGTTAGCCTAGTTATTGTTCTGCTGTAATAAGCAATCTCTGTGAAGTCAAATAAAGAAGCTTGATTCCTTGCTGACACAGGGGAAAAAGCCATGCGTTCTTCTTTCCTGCTTCCCAAACCCCTTCTCACAGGAACAGGACAGAGAGGTACAGAACAGGGGCCCTGGCAGGATTCTCATAGCTCAGGCTCTATTTCAACATTTGGGGGACCTTTCAGCTCCAGTCACTGACGCTTCCTTGGTGCCCCCTCCTCCCTCATACCCGCAGGTACAAGGGATCCTGTATAGCCAGCCCTTCAGGGAGACAAGAACGGTACCCATGACTACTGGGTGCTCCCTTTATCAATTCTTTCCTAAGAGGCCGAGGATGCAAGGAAGCTCTATCTTCCATTTCTAGGATCATCACCACCCACCCTCCAACAGAGACAGGATCTTGTAGTACTTTTAGAAGATCCTAAACTATCTCTATGTTTTAAAGGTATAGTAATATCTCATAAACAATGAGACCAAGAAAGAAAAACCCAACTGGATTTGGTCCTGCAATTCTGGGAAAACTAAATTGTTAATCATATAATTGCAGAATAGCACATTCAAAATAAATATCAGACAATTCCTTTGAAATTATGGTGTTGGAAAACAAGGCTGTCACCTGGTATATTCTACATTTATTTGGTTTGGGGGAGTGTAATTTGGCTGCAATTCACTATAATTAGGAACGGTATTATAATGGAGTTTAGCTCAACTCATACACTGGGTTTTGACTTACGTGACACATGTTACCATTTTGGGTTTCTTACACAAGTCGAATGCTTTATTCTGAGCATGGTCTCCACCACAGCGCTGTTCCCTGCCGGGAGTGGAGGAATGGGTGGTGATTAAGATTCTGAAAGTATAATCAATTCCCTTATACTTAATTTTACTTCTCTGTTCTTACATGGCTCTGCAAGTCACCTTTACTCTCATGGTTATCCTGGCCAGTGTAGTCTTATTACTAGGACTTACAACACAAATATTTGTTGAGTGCCTACTATGTGTCAGACAGCATTCTAAGTGCTGGGAATACATTAGGTAAAAAAGTAGAACTCCCTGCCCTTGAGAATTTTCAAACAGTATACAATAAACATAATAAATAAATACTATTACACAGTATATTGGAAAATGATAAGTGCTACGGGAAAAAAGGTAGAGCAGGGAGAGAGTGATTGGGGCTCCAGGGAAGGGGCTGGTTGCAGTATTAAATGGGTGGTCAGGGTTGGCCTCACGCGTTAAATAGTGATAAATAATACCTACTCTGTAGGGCTGTTTATCAAGTTGTGAAGCTCTTAAAACAGGCATATAAATGCTATGAAAGCGCTTGTTTAATTAAATAAATAAAAACGTCTTTGGTAAGATAACTGAATATAATGGGGTAGTATGAGGTCTAACAGGAGATGCAGATGTAAACAAATAATTATAACATAACACGAAGTATGCACAAAAGATAGTGGTAACACAATGAGGATAAACTTGGTTTCCAGTGGTTATTATGAGCAGAGCCAAGGGCATAAAGGACGTTCCAGTTGGAGAGAGCAACACTAAGAGATGTGGAGATACACAAAAGTCACTGTACTCAGATGCTTAAAGCCAGACATCAATAAAAACCAAAGGGGGAAAATGTTGTGGTAGAGCTACAAGAAAGGAGTCATTCATTTCAACTCCAAAGCAAATGGAGGGGCCTTATGGAGAAGGGCCCAGCATCATGGTTGACTGCACGGGTGGTGGAGTCAGGCTGGCTCAGTTCAGAGCGCTACCTCTGCACCTCACTAGTTGTATGATTTGACCTCTCTAATCCCCAGTGTCCTCATCTGTAATGTGGGTAATAATACCATCTCTTAGAGTTGGTAAGAAATCACAGTTAATGCATGTAAAGTCTTAGCGTAAAGCACTCAATAAATGTTAAACTACTGTATTATTATTATTATTATCACCACATTACAAGTTGAACCTTGAGTGAGAACTTTGATTGGCACTAAAGGAATAATGAGAAAATGCCCAAAAGTCAGAAAGAATCTGACACATTTAAAGAACAGCAAATCAGTGCCACTTAAAATATGGTCATCATACGTGTCAGTACATGAACTGTTTTTACTGGTCCATGATGAGAGAAATAAAGAAATTGAGAGTAAACATTTAGAAATTAAAAAACAAAAACAAATTGACAGTAATTTTATACTTGTGTACTTGTATACCTGTAGTGAAAACTGGGGCTTGTAGTTTATGTCTTTTTTTACTTTTCTAGCAAATTTTTAATTGTAGCTTTAAAAAATGACAATCCATGACTTTTTTGGAAATAATAAAACTTGTCCTTTACCCCAAACGATTTGAGAAAAAAAAATTCAGTGGAGCTGGGTTTAGAGTACTGTAGAGATGATTCCAGAAAGATGGGCCAGGATCACATTGCGAGGAACTACTTTGAATGTCTCAGGGTTCATACTTTATTTGGTAGGCAACAGGGTTACTAAAGGTTTAGAGAGATGCTTAACTGAGGGTTTAGTGTGTATAAGTAAATGGACATACACGTTTTGTACTTCTTAAAAAATTCCCAGTAGGCATGGTTTTTTGTTTGTTTTTTTAAATTGAAAGATTTTTTTTTTTGGTTAAGAGGAGAGATCCTAATTGCTCTGTGTTTCACAAAGATAACTGTTTGTATTTGACAAGAGTGTAGTTAAGTAAAGGAATTCAAATTATCAAAACAGAAAAAGTTGAAAGTACGTGAGCACACACTTAGTGACCAGCAATGCAAGTGATTTGTTGAGATAAGCTACCCAGGGTCATCAGCCGAGTCTCCCTTCTTGGGCACCTTCACACAATTAACCAGAAACCAAAGAGACAGGACTCTTTCTGATCTCCCAGTTTGTGCTGTCTGGTCCACATTCCCTCATCATCGTCTCTCCAACAATCTTGCAAGACGGGAAAACGATGGCGTAACAGTCGCTTACTGGTGGGCGGCATCTGACAGCTCTCAAGGCCGGGGTTTCCAGAAGGGTTGGCCAGGCTTGGAGGCAGAGCCAAACCTTCCACGTTTTCCCTTCAGCTTCACACCCCCACCTCCACCCCCTGCACAGCCGCTCAGCTCATTAACGCACGAGACACCCTGCCCAGCCCTTCGCCGGACCTGAGGCTGCAGCTCCCGAACCCACCCGCGACTCCCGCCCTGTCCCCCCCACACCCCCCACCACCCCGACCCAGAGGCCCAGGCCGTGCGGACCCGCGAGGGTCTGAGGGCGACGCTCGGGCCCTTTAGCCGCTAAATAAAGAAGCAAGGCTGCGGGGGCCCAGGACAAAGGGTGTGACACTTATTTTCTAACAAGAGCCAGAAGTGAGAAGGTGAGGTGCCAGCCGGTCGGCCCGCGGCCCTCGGGGTCGCCCGAGTCGCAG